TGGCTCAAGGCCCCCCTGTCCCCTCTGTGCAGACCCAGCTCTGGTCTCCCTTCCCCCCCGTGCAGCCCCAGAACCTGTCTCCCCCGCCCCACCTGTCCCCCCGCTCAGATCCAGCAGCCCCAGGGCCCAGGAGCCCTGGGGGATTGAACCCTGGCTGGCATGGGTCTGCCCTTCTGCGGGGTCCATGCTGGGTGTGGCCCACATACTGTCCTTTTTGTAGGGTCCTGGGCCCTAGAAGTCTGGGGGAATCTTGAACCTTTCAAATGGGGGGATTCTGGGTCGGATTTTAACACCCACATCAACCTCTCCAGCCAATGGCTGTTAAGCCATCCTCCTGCCACAGCAACTGGCCAACCTTCACTGCCCCCCATGTAAACCCACCCTTGGCTCCTTCTTGTTCTCCACTCTCCCCACTCTGGTCCCTTGTGATTCAACCAGCTTCATCCTGCCCCTCAGCTCCCCAGCACCTGTGGGTAGAGATCTCGCCCAGCCCCAGCAGGTGTGCCAAGGGATGGGGGTGTGTGGGTGTCGGGAGTGGGGTGCGCACACGTGTGTGTGGGAGGGGGAGGTGGGTGCGCATGTGTGTGAGGAGCAGGGAGGATGTGGGGGGCAGCAGGGTATGTGTGGGGGGACAGTAGTGTGGTGCATGTGTGTGGGGGAGGGAAGGGTAGTGAGGAGTGTGGGGGAAGCAAGGAGCGGAGAAGATGTGGAGGCAGTGGTCTGTGTCGGGGGAGTGAGGAGTGGGGTGGGGGGGGAGCGAGGAGCAGGCACGGTGTGAGGGGGCAGTGAGGAGTGGGGAAGATGTGAGGGGGCAGTGGGGTCTGTGTGTCAGGGGAGTGGGGAGCGTTGGCGTGTGTAGGGGAAGCAGGGTGTGTGTGGGGAGTGAGGAGCGAAGGGGGAGTGGGGTGCATGTGAGGGGGGAGCGGGGATGATGTGAGCGGGGAGCAGGGTGCGTGTGTGGGGGGAGTGAGGAGGATGTGAGTTGGGAGCAGAGTGCGTGTCAGTGGGGACCGGGGTATGTGTCAGTGGGGAGCAGAGTATGTGTGTGGGGGGAGCAGGGTGTGTGTGAGTGGGGCAGGGTGCGTGTGAGTGGGGAGCGGGGAGGATGTGAATGGGGAGCAGGGTGCGTGTGAGGGGGAGTGTGGTGTGCATGAGTGGGGAGCATCGTGCATGTCTGGGGGGAGCGGGGAGGATGTGAGTGGGGAGCAAGGTGCATGTGTGGGGGGAGCAAGGTGTGTGTGAGGTGGGTGCGGGGTTCACATGTGGGGGGAGCAGAGTGGGGAGCAGGGTACATGTGTGGGGGGAATGGGGAGGATGTGAGTAGGGAGCAGGGTGCGTGTGAGGGGGGAGTGGGGAGGATTTGGGGGGAGCACGGTGCGTGTGAGTGGGGATAAGGGTGCGTGTGTGGGGGGAGCGGGGAGGATGTGAGTGGGGAGCAGGGTATGTGTGAGGGGGGAGTGGGGTGCATGTGGAGGGGAGTGGGGTGCATGTGGAGGGAGCAGGGTGCATTGGAGCAGGTGTGGGGAGCAGGGGGTTGGGGGGCAGTGTGTGTGGGAGGGAGGGAGCGAGGAGTGGGAAGGAGGTATGGGGCAATGGAGTGTGCGGGGGAGAGGAGCGTTTGTAGGGAGGTATGTGCATTTGTAGGGAGGGAGACGAGTGGAGGTTGTATGGGGAGGACTTAGCCCCTTCTCTGCAGTCCCACGTTTGGTGTGCCCATGTGATGCTGGTCTATGGGCTCGTTCCCAGGAGGGGGCTGTGGGAGGCAGATGCTGTACACAGGGGGTGGGCCCCGTTCCGCAAAGGGTCCTGTGTCCCCACGCTGCGGGGCCAGTCTAGGCCAGGCTGGGAGGAGGGAGCACTGCCCTCACCGCCAGGCAGTAAACAGGAAATCCAACTTGGCAGGGGCTGTGAGCAGCTGTGTGTGCTGGGAGCTCCCCGCCTGCCCAGCCAGTGCTCCCACAATGACGCCTCTGTCAGCCCTGCTGCACATGCTGAGGCAGCGAGGCCCAGGAGGCTGAGGGCCAGTGCTGAGGCTGTGGCGAAGGATTTGGGGGAGGACTCCACTGTGCAAGGGTTGGGCTCAGGCCCCTGCAGGGAACAGCCCCCCTCGAGCAGAGGTCACAGACAGCCCATCCCTCCCCCCAGCATTGCACATCCTGAGCAGAGAGTGTCCAAAGCTGCCTCCCCCATAACATAAAAATGGCCATGTTGGGTAGGACCAATGGTCCATCCAGCCCAGTGTCCGGTCTGAGCGGCTGGTGCCAGATGCTTCAGAAGCAAATGAAGAGAACAGGGCAACTATCGAATGATCCTTTCCCTGTCATCCCGTCCCAACTTCTGGCAAACAGAGGGTTAGGGACACAGGACAAGGGGTTGCATCCCTGCCCATCTTGGCTAATAGCCATTGATAAATGTATCCTCCATGAATTTATTTCATTCTTTTTTTAACCCAGTTATACTTTTGGCCTTCACAGCACTCATGGCAATGAGTTCCACAGGTTGACTGTGTATGGTGTGAAGAAGTACTGCCTTATGTTAGTTTTAATCCTGCTGCCTATTAATTTCATTGGATGACCCCTGGTTCTTCTCTTATGTGAAGGGGTCAATAATATTTCCTTACTCACTTTCTCCACACCATTCATGACTTTATAGACCTCTTTCACATCCCCCCTTAGTCATCTCTTTTCTAAGCTGAACAGTCCCAGTCTTTTTAATCTCTCCTTGTCTGGAAGCTGTTCCATCTCCCTAATCATTTTGTTTTTTCATAGATGTGATCATCTAGCCTTACCTCCTGTATGACACAGGCCAGAGGACTTCCCCAAAACAATTCTCAGAGCAGATCTTTTAGAAAAACATCCAGTCTGATTTAAAAATGGTCAGTGATGGAGAATCCACCACCCTTGGTAAAATTGTTCCGATGGTTAATAACTCTCACTGTTAAAAATCTACACCTTATTTTCCAGTCTGAATTTGTCTCGCTTCAAACTCCAGCCATTGGATCATGTTAGACATTTCTCTGCTAGATTGAAGATCCCATTTTTAAAGATTTCTTTCCCATGTAGGTGTTCATAGACTGTGATCAAGTCATAGACTGTGATCAAGTCACCCCTTAATCTTCTCTTTGTTAAGATAAATAGATTGAGCTCCTTGAGTCTATCACAATTAGGCATATTTTCTAATCCTTTAATCATGCTCATGGATCGTCTCTGACCCCTCTCCAATTAATAAACATCCTTCATGAATTGTGGGCACCAGAACTGGACACAGGATTCCAGCAGTGGTTGCACCAGTGCCAAATACAGAGGTAAAATAACCTCTCTGCTCCTACGTGAGATTCCCCAGTTTATGCAGCCCAGGATCACATTAGCTCTTTTGACCACAGTATCACACTGGGAGCGCATGTTCTGCTGATTATCCACCATGACTCCCAAATCTTTTTCAGAGTCACTGCTTCCCAGGATAGAGCCCCCCATCCTGTGCGTATTACAATCTTTGCTCCCAGAGGTCCGCATTTACACTTAGCTGTATTAAAACACATATTGTTTGCTTGTGCCCAGTTTACCAAGCGATCTGAATCAGTGACCTTTTCATTACTTACCACTCCCCCAAATTTGTGTCATCTGTTGCCCTTCTCCGTACCTTTTCCAATTCTAATATATGTTTTTGAGATGTGGTGACAGAACTGCACGCAGTATTCAAGGTGTGGGCATACCTTGGATTTATCCAATGGCATTATGATATTTACTGTCTTATTATCTATCCGTTTCCTAATGGTTCCTAATACTCTGTTCGCTTTTTTGACTGCTGCTGCACTTTGGGCAGATGTTTTCAGAGGACTATCTATGATGACTCCAAGATTTCTTTCTTAAGTGGTAACAGCTAATTTATACACTGTCTCCCGCAGCAATGCATGGCCACAACCCTATTCCATGGGTCATGCCCTCTCTCATACCACCTGTGCCAGCCTCAGCCCCTATCCCACAGGCCACACCTCCTCCCCTACAGCCCATAGCAGCCTCAGCCTGCATGGCCACACTCCGGTCCCATAGGCCATGCCCCATGCTTGTTCCCATACAACCCACACCAGTCACAACAATACATGGCCATGTTCCCATCCCACACAACCCACACAAGCATCAGCCTGCATGGCCATACCCCCGCACCAACCCGTACCAGCCTCAACCACACTCCTATCCCTTTTCCATGAAACAAAAGTGTTGTTCTTTTCCTTCCTCAGTCAAGGGTGCCTGGGTATCTTTGCCTCCAAAACATAGTGGCTCAACCCTTTGATGTCTACCTACAGATAAGGTCTCTCTCATCCCCCAGCTGCTTTGTTCTTCCTATTTAGTTTCTTTTGAAATTCTTACAATCCTTCATTTGCATTTAGTCCAGACTGCTGATATGGCACCCACTGTGCAACATACAATACTTAATTTATGTGCAAACTGCCGGATAGAGAAACATTTCTTGTTGGAGAAAAACCCGTTCTCCTTTGCTGGTGCCAAGTCTCTAGCCACAGTCTTGAGTATATTTTCAGTATAGCTACATAACTCTTTACATAGTATCTGTAGGTACATTTCACAATGATATTATTGACCAGTGTGACACCAACTTTTATTTGAGACCTCACACAACATTCTTTGGTGAACCAGAATGTATACGCCAGAATCAGGAGAGTCCAGTGACCCCTCTGCACCCCCTTGTCAGTTGGCATTGGGAGGTTTATGGTGTGTCTGTACTGGGTGTGCACTAAGTGAGTGTTGGGCTGTGTGTGCTGGGAGAACACTTGGCATGGTGGGTGGGTGTGTAACCACTGGGTGTGTGCTGGCTGTGGTGCGTGTTGGGTGCATACTGACTGTGTGTGCACTGGGTATGGTGTGTATGTGTATATGTTGGGTGGGCACTTGGTGTACGCACTAGGTATGCACGAGGTATGGGGTGTGTGTGCACTGGGCATGTTCTGATATTAACCCTCAGCTCACATTTCCTGTTCCCCACAGAGCGCCCCTCGAGGATGCTGGACTCTCCCATGGAGCTGGAGCCAGGCCCTGGGCCAGAGCCAGCGTCTCATGACCTCGATGGGAGCTGTCGGAGAGGGGCAGCCATCACCGTGTCCAGGAAGCAGAGCTGGGCCAGGTTCTCATGTGGCATCCGGGACGTGCCATGTAGCTCTTACAGCAGGAAGGTGTCTGCCAGCCCCACGGCCTCCACAGAGCCGCAGGATGAGGGTGAAGGGGTAGGGCCAGTTGCCTGTGGGCGAGAGACTGACGGGGACCCCCAGTGCCCTCTGCGACCCCAGGAGCTGTTCTCCCCCACTCACACAGGGGGGCCAGCCATTAAGGATGAAGCCTGGCTTGTGGAGAGCCCCCCAGCCCCAGCGCCCCCCACCCCTCAGCCTGGCCTGGCCCTGGCGACCCCAGCCCCTCAGCCCGGCCTGGCCCCTGGTGATGAGGAGGCTGAGTCGATGTGCAGGTATGTGGAGCTTTGCGCCTCCGGCAGTGCTGTGAGGTCTGCCAGTCATGGCGCCTACTTGCAGAACCTGGAGAGGAGCAGCCGCCACTGGATCCTCTCCTCGGGCAAGGCCCAGGGCCTGGAGGAGTTGGCCCCCAGCGCCAGCACAGAGTTGAAGGAGGTGGGCGCCATGGGCAGCGAAGGGGAGATCTGGTACAACCCCATCCCTGAAGATGAGGACGTTGTGGGTGTCAGGCAAGGCACCGAGCCTGGCAGCTCCTGGAGGAAGTGGGGCAGTGGCACAGGGAGCCGGGAATCTGACAGGGACAAGGCCAGGCCCAGCAGGGCAGAGCCAGGTGATGAAGGGCCCCCCAGGAGCATCGCCAGGCAAGTGGAGAGCCCCAGCTCACAGAATACACCTACCCCAGCTGAGCCAGTGGGCCGAGGCGAGGAGATGGGTGCCGGCAGGACACAGGCCTATGGTGAGGGGTGTGGTGCTAACAGGGTGTGTTGTGGGTTGAACTGCATGGCAGAAACATGAGACAGAGAGCTGCTTCCACATGGCCCCACCATCTTCTGGTGGCAGACCCACCCTGATCTCATGAGCCCCTCCCCTCCCATGGCCCCCCCTTGCAGGTTCCCTGATCTCATGGGGCACCCGATCCCGTGGGGTCCCCCTCTTTCCATAGAGCCCCTCCCCAGGTCCCTGTCCCTGCATCTGCATCCCCACTGCAGCCTGGTTCCCTGTGTGGGATCAGCCACACTTTCCGTCCCCAGCAAATCAGTCTTGGCTGCTCTGGGTCCCACAGGCCCTCCTCCCTGTAATGGCCCTTCCCTTCCATGCCCCAGATGAAGGGGCTCCCTTTCTCCATGCATGCCAGTGTCCACTGCCCGTCTCATCAGGTCTCTCCCCCCAGGGAAGTTGCCGATTTCATGTGTGAGCGTGGCTGTGGGGTTGGCTGGCCCATCCCCGCCGCTGAGCCCCAGCGTCTCCAAGAAGGGGCGCTCCCTGGGCAGGGTGAAGTCCCCGGGCACCGTGCGCCGCCTTTCCCTGAAGATGAAGAAGCTGCCTGAGCTGAGGAGGAAGCTGAGCCTGCGTAGTGCCCGGCCCCGGGGTCAGGAGCCTGAGGGCAGTGGCAGCACCTCACCCCAGGATGCCCGCAAGGAGCCGGGGAATGTCATCAGCCGCTACCACCTGGACAGCAGCGTGGCATCCCAGCAGGGCCCACACCGTGCCAAGGCAGCCAGCAAGGGCGGCTACCTGAGTGATGGTGACTCCCCTGAGCTGCTGACCAAAGCGGACAAGCGTGCCTGTCCCGGGCCAGAGGGGCATGAGCCTGGGGCCAGGCTGGACGTGGATGCCTTCCAGCCCTACAGCTCCTTGGAACAGCCGCGCTGTGTGCAGCCCATCTCAGGCCTAGTCAGTGTCCACCTGCACGGTGTGGGAGACCTTAAGCCCCCAAAGGCTGAGTCCAGGGAGGTGTTCTGCGTCCTGCAGGTGGACACAGCCCCCAAGGCGCGCACGGCCCTGCTGCCCTGGACAGCCGCCTTCCTCAGCCTCAACCACACCTTCAACTTGGAACTGGAGGGCGCCCGACACCTCAAGGTCATTGTCTTCTCCTGGGATCTGGCTACCTGCCGGAACCGTGTGTGCTGCCATGGCACCATTGTCTTGCCCTACGTCTTCAGAGGTAACGGGAGCAGCCAGTGAGGCAGGGGCTCTGGTGATCGGGAAAGGGCCTGAGAGGGGGCAGTGGCATCCAGGCAGGGGGCAATGCCCAATGGGGCTCAGATGTACAGGGCTCTGGGGGGCACATACAAATGGGCAGGAGGCAGGGTCCAATGGTGCTCAGATGGACAGGACTGTGGGGGGCATAGGGCAGAACTAAGTGGGGGGCAGATGCTGTGGTTTCCCAGCTGGCCCTTGCTGATTGTCCACATCTCGCTCCGGTCTGACATGTGCCGGTGCCCTCTGCTCTTCAGGGTGCAGGGCCCAGCAGCTGGCAGTGCGGCTGGAGCCGCGCGGGCTGCTCTACTGCAGGCTGACGTTGGTGGAGCAGTGGGACATGCCCAGCAGCCCCAGTGACCGGGAGCCCCGGGTCTTTGGCGTGGAGCTGCGTCACTTGGTGGAAAGGGAGAACACTGCCACCAAGGTGCCGCTGCTGATCCAGAAATGCGTCTCCCAGATCGAGAAGCGGGGACTGAAGGTGAGTGGTGGGGGAGGCGATAGTGGGGGAGGGGGCTCTGCAGGACACCTGGCACTCCAGTCCCATGCCACGCAGCTCACACAAGCACAGCAGGTACATGGCGAGGAGCCGGTGAGCACGGCTCCTGAGCAGGCAGGATCCCAGCAGGCTGTGGGCTCTGTGCTGTCTTCCCTCTTTGTATCCCTGTCCCCTCCCTATGCTGCCCCTTGGGTCCTGGGACAAATGGGGAGGGCTGGGCTCTCCTGCTGACAGCACCTCCTCTGCCCAGATTGTAGGGCTTTACCGGCTGTGTGGCTCGGCAGCTGTGAAGAAGGAGCTGCGTGATGCCTTCGAGAGGGACAGTGCAGCCGTGACGCTCTCTGAACAGCTGTACCCAGACATCAACGTCATCACAGGTCAGTGCCCAGCTACTCCTCACCCCCATGCAGCACCAGCACAGTTCCCAGATTGCCACCCCCCCCACGCACACTCCGGCAAATCAGTAGGAGGCTCACTGCAACACCTGGCCACTAGACCCCACTCCCCTCCCAGAACTGAGTGTAGAACCCAGGAGTCCTCATTCCCAGCCCCCCCGTTCTAACCCACTAGATCCCATTCTTCTCCCAGAGCAAGGTAAAGCACCCAGGAGTCCTGTCTCCTGGCCCCCCCTCTAATCCGGTCCAACTAACTTGATACCTTTTTGTGATGAGATTACAAGTTTGGCTGATAAAGGCAATAGTGTACATGTCATATACATAGAGTTCTGCAAGGCGTTTGACCTGGTGCCCCCTGACATTTTGATTAAAAAACTAGAACAATATAAATATAACAGCACACATTAAATGGATTAAAAATTGGCTCACTGATAAGTCTCAAAATGTAATTGTAAAAGGGGAATTGTCATCGAGCAGGTGTGGTTCCAGTAGTGTCCCACAGCGACTGGTTTTTGGCTCTACGATATTTAACTTTTATCAACGGCCTGGTGAAAGAAAACATAAAATCATCACTAATAAAGTTTGCAGATGACACAAAAGTTGGGGGAGTGGCAAATACTGAAGAGGGCAGGTCACTGATACAGGGCGATCTGGATCGCTTGGTAAACCGGGCACAAGCAAACAATGTGTGTATTAATAAAGCTAAATGTAAATGTATACAGCAGGAACAAGGCCACACTCACAGGATGGGGGGATGCTATAGTGGGAAGCAGGGACTCTGAAAAAAGATCTGGTAGTTGTCTTGGTGGATCATCAGCTGAACGGTGGCCAAAAGCGTCCTTGGATGCATAAAGAGGGGAATCTTGGGCAGGAGCAGAGAGGTTATTTTACCTCTGTATTTGGCACTGGTGCGACCACTGCTGGAATCCCGTGTCCAGTTCTGGTGCCCACAATTCAAGAAGGATGTTGATTAATTGGAGAGGGGTCCGAGAAGAGCCATGAGAATGATTGAAGGATTAGAAAATCTGCCTTACAGAGATAGACTTTAGGAGCTCAGTTTATTTCGCTTAGCAAAGAGAAGGTTAAAGGGTGACTTACTTAGTCGATAAGTACCTACATTTGAAAGAAATATTTAATAAGGGGATCTTCAATCTAGCAGAGAAAACTGTAACACCCATCCAATGGCTGGGAGTTGAAGCAGACAAATTCAGATTGGAAATAAGGTGTAGATTTTAACGGTGAGAGTAATTAACCATTGGAAAAAGGGTCGTGGTGGATTCTCCATCACTGGCAGTTTTTAAATCAGATTGGATGGTTTTCTAAAAGCGCTGCTCTTAGAATTATTTTGGGACGTTCTCTGGCCTGTTATACAGGACGTCAGACTAGATAATCATAATAGTCCCTTCTGGCCTTAGACTCTCTGAACCCACTAGACCCCACTCCCGTCCCAGAGCTACGGGTAGAACAGGAGTCCTGACTCCTAGTCCCTCTGCTCTAGCCACTAGACCCCACTCGCCTCCCAGAGATTGAACCCAGAAGTCCGGGCTCTCTGTGCACTCCCTGTAGTTTCTATAGGCTGCTCAGTGCCATGAGTCCTGTGCCCTCCCCCCAGTGGGACCCAGGAGGGACCAGTGTGGTTGAGGTGCCTGCCAAGGAGCTGACAGAAGTCTGGCCTTTTTCCTGCAGGGATCCTGAAGGACTATCTGCGGGAGCTGCCCACGCCCCTCATCACCAAGACCCTTTACCAGGTGGTGTTGGAGGCCATGGCCCAGCGACCGCCCCAAGACATGCTTAGCAGGCAGAATGCAAAGGAGACGATGGCTCTGCTGGACTGCCTGCCGGAGATTGAGAAGGTGAGTGCCTGCCAGTGGGCGGAGCAGGGGAGTGTGGGCAGGTAGGAAAGGAGACCTGGCTGTGGAGCCAAGCCATGGTGTCCTTGGAGCAGTCCCGGGGGGCTGGTTGGTGCTGCTGCAACAATGTCACGATAGACTGGCACATTCCCATCTCCTAGGTGGGAGGCTGTGGTCAGCTCTGCCCCTGCCACACACATGGTGGCTGGGCATGTGCATGGCACAGCTCCAGGCATGGAGTCAGCACTGTCCTGCTGCACATATGAGAGCCAGGCATATGCATGGCACAGATCTAGACACGGAGCCAGCGCTGCCCCTGCCACACACATGGGG